CAAGAAGGTCAACAGCATCCTGGCCTGTTTCAAAACTGGTGTGATCAGCAGGAGTAGGGTGGTGATCATGTCTCTGTACTTTGCACTGGTGAGGCTGCACCTTGAGTCTTGTGTCCAGGTTTGGGCACCACAGTGTAAGAAGGACATGGAGGTGCTGGAGCAGGTCCAGAGAAGGGCAATGAGGCTGGTAAGAGGGCTAGAAAACATGCCTTATGAGGATGGGGATTGTTTAGCCTAGAGAAGACTGAGATGAGACCTTATTGCTTTCTACAACTACCTAAAAGGAGGTTGTAGTGAGGCTGATGTTGGTCTCTTCTCCCAAAATTACTGATGATAGGACAAGGGGAAATGGCCTCAACTTGCACCAGGGAAGATTTCGATTAGATATTAGGAAGAATTTCTTCCCTGAGAGAGGGGTTAGACACGAATGGGCTGCCCAGGGAGGTGGTGGAGTCATCATCCCTGGAGGTGTTCAAAAAACAAGTGGATGTGGCACTGGAGGCTATGGCCTAGTGGTTAGGGAAGTGCTGGGAGGAAGGTTGGACTTGATGATCCTGGAGGTCCTTTCCAATCATGGTGATTCTATGATTCAGCTCTCCCAACACCACACAAATTCTAGCAAACCATGCAGTGTCTAAGCCTCCATGGACCTTTATCCCCATCTCAATCAAATTCCTGAATGAATTGCATTTCACCTAAACCACATTTTAGCGAGGGAAATGGCAATTTTGGGCGAGGTAGAAGGAAGATAGTCTTTAACTACACATGCACTTGAAATGCTGGGGTTTGAACCCTGAGCCGCAAATTAGGGTTGACATATGGGTGATTCCCACAGCCCTTCATACAGAGGTGGTGAGTTTGCCTTATAGCTTCCCCCCAGGGTGCGGCCGGGCCCGCAGGGGGCGAGCTAAGGGAAATGAGCCCCAGGGGGCCCGCAGTGAGTTGACAAAGGTCAGGTGTCTGCCTGGGGATAAAAGCTGGGACCACTTGCAGGGAGTCAGGAGTGTCTGTCTGTGGAGTGCACTCCACAGAGCTTCCTGGTTCAGGGAAGACCTCCTGAACTCTCCCTGGAGCTGGGCCTCAGTCAGTTTAGACCTTTGTGAACGCAGGCTAAACGGGTGAGAGTTGCCATGTGGGCACCCTAATCCTATCTGTTTAACCTTGTGATCTGGCTGTTTCCCTTGCCAACTGTGGGAAGCATTGGCTCTTTGTTTATACCACCTGTTGTGGGCCGAGTTATGTCTTTTCTGGGATCATTGGGGGTGGTGTCGATTATGTATGAACTGGTTGACTTGTTTGTACCCCAGGCGGTCATTCAGGTCATGACTTTCTTGTTTACAATACAGTCTACTTATTGGTTTGTCTTTCTGCTGGTTATATCATTCTTGTTGGGCCTAGTCATTGGCAGAACAGCACTACATCCTTAGTAAGGCAGGATGAAGGAATTCTAAGGGATCTCAGTAAATTCAGTCTGAATTTACTTCACTTTTCCTGATGGCTACCTTGAGAATCACCTTATAATACTGAACTTGACTAATATGCCCTTAAATTCCATTGCACAATGATTGTACATGTAAGCAAGATGATCTTTGAGAGAAAGCTCAAACTTTCAAAGTTCAAACTCACATGAAAGTAAGGGTAGGAATGCAGGCTAAGCAAGGCACTAATCTGTCCACCTTCCAGTGAATTAACTTAATTGCTAAGGATGATTAAGAAAAAGGGTTTATCCAGAACAAACATAAATGCTCTCAATAATAGTTACAATATTAAACTTTCTAATGTCAACAAGTTTAAGTTCTATAGCATATTTTAAATTAATTGTAGTAGACACAAGGGATTAGCAATGGTTAAAATCCTAAATCAGGTATCAGTGCACTATCAATAGAATTTGTGAAGCTATGCCCTCAAAATTAAAGATATTATGTTTAGAGAAGTAACATGGCATGTAAGCAATATCAGCTTGAAATGTCCTCTGCTCCAAGTTTTAAAAATAGGAACGTGGTTTATGAAGCAATTAAAATAAACTGTCTGAGCTGATTTGATAGACTTTTCTCAGTGCCACCTACAAAATACACAGAAAATATGAAAAAAAATAAAGACTACTTACATGAATATTAGACACTGGACAATCCTTTTTGGCAAGTTTAAAGGCAAAGTAAGATACTTGAAAGATATCGGGTCTCTGTTCTTGATCTGGTTCAAGCATATATCCTGCAAAAATTGGTAAAACCAAATTATCACTGTTGGATACCAAAAAGCCTGTTGAGGCAGCCTGCCTCCAGCAAGAAGAAATTCAGCAGCTCTGCCAAATGAGCTTTTCTCAAAAAGAGCAATTTTCATTGTTACAATGGTTTGGGGATTTTTTAAAATACTTTTTGTAAAGTCAAATAGTTCCTAGGGTCAAATACAATTGGAGAAGATGTATGCTGTTGGGTATTTCAACACTGAGCTGTAGGAGTAACTACACTGAAGTAGTCAGTAACTTCAAAGAGACAACATAAAATCAACTCCAGAATTTTCTAGGATAATATACAATTCCACATAGCTAACAGAAGATTCCCAAATATATCTAACTGCATCAGGCTAAGGTTCTACATCATCTGTTGTCTTGCAGGTTTAGTTGGCTATGCATAATTTTGTATATTAAAAAAATAGAAATGTTCCATGGATAGGAATTTTTCCTGACAAGACACAGAATTTCTCATGTCACTCACAAACACTAGCTTCCCAAACAGGAAGGTTTGCTGTTTTTGAAGAAGAAAAGTTACTTCACATTGTATACCATTTGATACAGAGTGCATACTCAGGCAATCTTTTCTAAATGACTGGAGAACCTAAATAAATAATGAAAGATTTTCTAAACAACTCTAAAAATATGTTCAGCTACAAAGAAAATGAACAGCCTATGAAATTTTGAATTCTCAGTTTTGATGGGAAAATCAAGCTAAATTTCCAAACTGTTCAATAGTACAGCCAACCTCAAACAAAATTCTGTAACAAAAAAAAAAGTGTGTTTTTTAATACATTTTTAGATAGTGGCTTTGAATAAAATGGTAAGATCTATCTCATGGGCAATACATTTCCCACCAAGTTGTAGTTTTAATGAAGTTTACAAAATAAAGCAAATTTCAACTTGCAGTGACAGCACCATGTTCTGGAAACCGAATATTTATCATGAAGTGACTCCTGACACTGGATTCTGAAATATTACATGTATAAGGTAGAGACCATTCAGCTTGTCACTCCCCACTAGGCACCTTGTAAAAGAGCTGAGGTGAAGCCAGACATCCCTGAAATAGCTTTTGCAACCAACAGCAACTTTTCTGGTTTTCATTCCCAATGGAAAGAAGGGAATCTTACATTACGACATTCTTCCCCACCCACATACATTCCATGCCAGTAATGCTCATCTTGCCACAGCAGTTCATTGAATCTTAATATATCAGTGTCCATACTTATAAGGAGACAGGCTTAAAACCTATAATCTTCTGTAAGTAGCACTGTGACAGACAGAAGTGTTTAATCACTGGAAAATTAATCACATTTTGTCAGTTATTAAGTATTTACAGAAGGCAAGTGCTTACCATGGCAACTGCTATTTCTCGGTTATGAACATGTGCTCAAAAAACTTGGTTTGGATTTGGTACTTAATGTTCTATAACAGCATAAACCTATATGGTCAACACATTCATGATTTAAAAATAAATTCTAAGAGCTCCTACTCAAGCTTCCTGAATTTTTCATACTCTCAGTCAAACTCAAGTTAACCTGCTCAAAGGTGAGGACAAAGATGACTGTAAATACACATTATTACTATAAATATTAGGCCCTGTATCTCTGTACCTGGCTGACGCATTTGCTTCAGAGCTTTTTTTCCCCCCAAGTTTTCCTTCATACTCTTTGTCTTGTCAAACTTCTGCCAGGTTCAGGTCTGAAACTTTGGTTTGCACAAACTTTTATCATATTTTTATTGTTTTAAGCCATAAAACCACCACAAAATCCTCCCCAGTGCAATTCACCTCAGTACATTTGTGTTGCTACACTAAACAGGCACTCCAAATGGATCTAAGCACAACTGTCCAACTTGCATAGAAATTACTCAGTTGTGCAAGTGCTGGAGCTGCAAGACAAATGGTAGCCAGGAGCAACTCCCATTGTTTCTCAAGAACCCAGCTTCTCCATGCCACCCATCCAAGTCACCTGCCTCCATCAGCAGGACCTTCTGTGTTTTATTCACTTGATGAGGCAAAAGAATTGTCATGCTGCTCAGATACTCACTTATCAAACAGTGTATTCCATGAGAGTATCGGGAATTGTCCGGAATGGTAAAGCTTCCGTCACAAATAGCAACCTGACTTTCTCCAAAGGGAAGTGAAAAGAAACAAAGTTTATACAGCAAGCAGCCAAGGGCCTGTAAAAAAAAAAAAAAAAAAACAAAACCAACAGGCACTGTAAAGGGATCAGAGTAAGCCTTCTACACAATAAAGCAGCACCAACAAAAACAAACTGCATCCTAGCTACAGCTGATGCTTACCTAGTTACGTTGAAGCTGCATTATTGAGCACTCTGTCAACTCTACGACAAGCTGATAAATGAAGCAGCTCTAAAAAGGCTTCTTTGCCCCCACTGACTGTTAGAAAATGAACTTTCAACATTAAAGCATAGGCCAAGAGTTGGATTCATGTTGTCCTATCATCCAGAGATAGCACTAGTGCTTCCCCTCAATTTAGTCTTGATTTACTTCACTGCACACCACCTAATAAAAACACCTTTCCTTATCATGTTGCCAACAGGTCTCCAACAGAAATCACTGGGTACTAGCAAGCAGCAACCTGAGCTGACAAAAAAGACTTTCTAAATCATGCCTCCCAAACTCAAACTGATCATCACAGCTGGCAATCATTTTATTTAAATAACCACCAATGATACCTCTGCTATACTCTGCATTGTATAGCTGCATGATATTTTTCACTTGCAAAGAATTAGTTTTTCAGTTAGTCAATGCTGTTTTTAACATCACACACACCTCTTTATTAGCTCTCTATTTCATAGTACCCAACAGTTCACTTACCCAGATATCTGCCTTGGTAGTAATTGGTTTCCCTCCATAAAGATTGATCATTTCGGGTGCTCTGTATGATAGTGTTGTGTACCTACCAGCACATAGTTAAAAGAGGACACAGATGAGATACATGCTTCCAAACCAAAAAAAAAACGTGTTTTCCTGCATCTGCCATGCACCCACCATTCACACCTGAGTTTCGGGTATGTGCCTGGAATTGTCTTACACAACGCAAGCAATTTATTGTGTTTGCAGCATCACAGAGAATTTGTGTGTAACATTATAAAGTTATCATACACCAAGATAAATATTAAGTCAACTAAAATTTGCCTTTAATCTTATTTCCCAGGCACACATACTTTTTCAGGTGTCACTCTGCTTTAATACTGCAATAATCAGTCATTTGAAAGATGTAAGAGTCCTACATAAGCATTCTCTATTGCATATGGAAACATACAGAAGGTGGACTTCAAGAAGCTAACATCTCAAAATAACTACTGAACTGACAGTCAAAATATTTTTTCAGAGCAGGGAAAACATGCTCACTGCACAGCAATACACACTTTCGTAGCAGCACAAACATTGCTTACAATAGGCCACTTAAAAGTAAACTTACTTTTTAATTTCTTCTTCAACCATATTAACACCTTCTTTTTGAGGATTAAGGTATTTGTTAGTGGCACTGCCGAAATCACAGAGAACATAGTTCCCGTTATCGTTCAACAAGATATTCTCCACCTGGAAACAAAATCAACACAAAAACAGGTGAAAATAATGGCATTAACTTCCAAGTTTACTGTTACTACATGTTCTTACACACAAATGGGGAAGTTTTCAGAAAAATCAGTTGATGGACTTGGCATTAGCAAAAAGTGATATCTTACAGTTTAGTCTCTCTGTTTACAGCTCCGCCCACAGTAAGTGCTCCAAAACTCAAGTCAGTCTTAGTGAGATACCTTTTATAGTCTCAACACTTTTTAAGTAGATCACTGACTTTTACCTATATGTTCCTTTTTATGAATTTCATACCTTTAGGTCCCGGTGAACTATAGGTGTTTTGCACTGATGCAACCGGGCAACAGCTTCACAGGTATCACAAAATATCCTCATTACTTCCGATTCAGAAAAGCCCGTCTGCAGACGCTGATTCATCTGATTCACAACCTGCCCAGCTAAACACACAAGTCATTTTATTTTTCAGTAATTCCTAGCATGTACAGATTTATAGGCAAAAAGTCCACAAATGAGATGCAAGAAATTTTTCCAAAGACGCTGTATTTGAATACAACAAATCTGGTTTTTCAAATGCACACTCTTGTATCATCCTAGATAGAAAAATTACTGTCTCAAATTAAAAACAAAGCCCCAACAACCAAAATTCGTTTTGGACAAATGGTTGCAAACATGAAGAAATCTAAAAACTACCTTGATTTACATATTTTTAAAACAAAGTTACATTACAAAGCAGGACCACAGGACTACTACATTTTCGGACAGCATTATCAACACTATGCCATCCTCATTGAGAACAAGTCACCTGCCAGGCAAAACACATTTAATATTGTTATCTAAAGCAAAAATAGCATAGGGACAGCAGCAATGAAGAGCTTGCCAATCTCTCCTGTTGAATTATGTTCTACACACACGACGTGCACAAACAGTGCAGAACAATTTCACTTTATTCTTACACAATTTCCCTGTTTCTAAACATATTTAATTATTACAAAGCCACATAAAACAGGCTTTCACATTTTATCAGTGTTCAAGAGCTCAGTGCTCAAGTAGTGAACAAAAAAGCAGAAAGAACTGCTTGGATTCCAGCTTTGAGATCACAGAATCACAGAATGTCAGAGAACCTTTTATGTTAAGGCAATTAACCTTAAGGCAACAAACTTAAGTAACAATTCCAGGTGATAAATACTAATACTTCCCCTTGTATTTACTCTGAAAACCCAGGAGCTGACTCTTACCTCGACAGTACTCCATGAGAATGAGTACCTCCCAAACATTATCACTTACAGAGTTAACAGCACAATCCAAATAGCTCACAATATTCTTGTGCCCAGATAACTCTTTCTGGAAAAGAAAATCCATTTTACTCTTTGCCACAGAAAAACTTACACAAATAAAAGACGGTACAATTTTTCAGACCATGAAGTAATAGTTAGAGTCTTGATACATAGAATATATGGAAGAATCAAGCTATTCACACCCATCCTGAGCTGAATTCATGGTTATTAAAACAGGTAGCTAGAAACACAGCCACGACTGTTGTAGTCTGAACTATTACCAAGTTTTACAGAATTATTACACACAAGCAAGTGAAGGTGTCCCCAAGGAAAAAAATAAACCACAACTTTTAAAAGCCACCTTACATTCAGAATTAAGCAATATTTATTTCACCTCTAAACAAGTGCTGCCATCTGTACTATAGTTTCTGCCTGTAAGATAAGTGAAGGTTAACATAAAAGTACCTCTCATCAGATAATCAAATAGCTGCTGCTATGATTAGAACATGTCTAAGTTAGAAGTGTATAGAGATGGAGATCAATCTTACTACCTGCTGAAGGTTATGTAACAGTTTTTCTCTTGCCATGTGAGACAAGTCATGATTTTTTTCTTTTAGACCCTGTCAAGTAATCATAAATCCATGTGCGTCTGACTAAACCTTCTAGCTTCTCCTTACTTGGTAGTCAACCGCTGAAAAACAACAAAAACTCCGATGATGTAGGGGAGTCCAGTGCATACACATCCAGCACCTCAACACTGGAGTGCCACTTCCAGAACGTGCTTAAAGAAGCCACCAGCAACATCCTTCAGGTAACAGAGTTGGGGCACACACAGGTGTTGAGAACTGAAGTTACTACTAGCAAAACTTAAAGAAATAACTTTCGCTGGGCAACCAGATGTACTGACCTGAATGACCATGGTATAAAATACATATTTACAGTTGTTTTACAAGTTCATTATTCAACAATCCCAAACTCAGCATTAGTTTCTGAAACCAACAGTGCAAAATCAGGACAACAAGGTCCAAAGAAAAGGTGGTCTAGAAATGGTTGTCACTGAAGAGGCATTTAGTGCCTGTATATTGCAAATTAACACATTCTCCAGTTACAAATAATGGGCTTCTTACCATAATTGTAATTTCTCTCTTGCATATGTTGAGATCCGGCACGTTATTAACACACATACGTTTCAGTGCACATCGTACCCCGCCATGGGTACGTACCAGAAACACAGTTGAGAAGCCACCTGGAAAAAACAATTACAAGCCAAAGTTGAGTTTTTGTTATTCCTCTAGCCAACATCCCTACACCCTAAGAAATTAATAGGAGGTCTACATCAGGTACTGAGAAGTAGTGAACACTTTTGAAGTTATGAAGATTTGCTACCTCAGTCCATTTCACATCAGTGAAGTATTCTTGCCAAAAAAAAAGCATGTTTGTTATAACATGAAATTAAAACATTTGGAAAGCATTTTCACATTCAAAACAACTTATAAAGAACAGGGAGAGCTCTACATATTTAAGTATCAACACTTAAGTAGTTTCAAGAGTCATCCAGAAAGCTGAACCAAGTGAAGGTATTGTCCATATAGTCACCATCTCTAGAGCCCCCAATACCTGATTATGGTTAATATTCCCTAAACCTACCTTTTAAAACATGAAAATTAAAATACTAAGGAAAGAGAAAGCCTTGAGAGATACTGAAGAAGTCACACAACTTCTCAGCATAGCCTAATGACCGTTAAGAACCTCCCTGCAATCACAGACAGTGCAGGCAATAAACTCTACAGGGGTACTTGTATTTAAATCCCTACTAAATGCACAGTTAAGAATCAAGACATTTCCTTACAACTATCCCCACGGCTAGTCCAACAGCAGCATGAACTGCAAACCACATACTGGGAGGCTGGGCTCGAGTATCAGGTTTTTATCTTCACTTGGTAGAGAAGAGCCATGCAGACAGGAATCCCACTCAGTAACCAAGTGGAACAACATACACAGGAAGTGCTTCCAAATACTGGGGCACAGGGACAACAACCACTCTCCTGTTTTACCTGACTTTTCTTGGTCTCAACCACTGCCTGCATCACCCAGCAGATGACTTGAGCACCCTCCCCAGGTTCACACATGCAGCTTCCCACAGTTTTAGGAAATCCACCCTGGAGAAGAGTTCACATAAATCCATACTTGCCTTAACTAACTGCTGTCTGACGGCAAGCCAGCTATTATCATGGGTATTTCCAACCAGTGCAAAAACTCAGGTATACGATCAGGACAGGAACATGTAAATCAGAGCAATTAACTGCTCTGATAATCAGGCAGCCAATCGAAATGCATGTGTTTTGTGTTTCCTGATACAATCTGCAAGCAGTGTTTATGAAGTGTAATGCACCTTATTTGGTATAAGTCTCATGTGGTTGAGCAAGTGTGCACATTATCATTTACAAATGAAGTAACTAAATTTTAATGGGACATTTTATCGAAGATTAAATACCTATTATTTTTTAATTTAGTAGCTCTTTCAGCCAAATTAGATGCTACACTGTCAAAACCGAACTCCTGACAATTTTGATGTAACAACCTGAATTCTGCAAAATTATTATACCTAATCTAATTTACACAGGGTCCCTCCAAAAACATTAGACCCGGAGTAACTTCAGAGCAGGTGTTCTCTTAATGTCAAATTCCAGCGGAGGCCAAAACAATCCTATGGGATCCCCCAGTACCAGCCTGGGGAATTACATTAAGAGTGACATGCCAACCCTTTTTAGCGGAAGGTTTTTTGTACTATTCTCTCAATAAAAAGAGACTTCTTGGTTAAGCACCAATACTTGACCAAAAATATAAAACCGTACTCAGGTAAAGCACAAAATCTTATGATTAGAAGACAAAAGAGACTTCTTGTCATCTTGTCCAGTTCTAGAGCCTTGAAATTCTCTAAGGCTAGCAGGACAAGAATATCAAGCCAGATTTCAAATTTCCCTATGTTTTTATGTAAACAGAGCAGACATGACTGGGTAAAAACAATCAGAGTGAAAAAAATCTAAATGCTTAGACAACTTTTCATCTTGCCATTAGGTGGCAATACTGACCACCCCCCTGAATCCTGGCAGAGCCATAAAAGCAGACATATTCCCTATTTTGCCAAGAAAGAGATGTGACCTCGAATGGTTTTCCATGAGTAAACATCACCACTACAAAAATCTTCTCATCAAACACCAAGTGGTATAACTCTGAACAGAACTTCAGTAAGTATATTCATATTTACAGGAAAATGAATAGTCATCAGTCTCCTGGGAATCTTTATCCAGCTAACTGCTGACCCATTCCACTTTAAACCTTTTCAGTTTCTAACGTGAAACTGCACAAGAAGATGACAAGCAAGTTCCAGATGTAAAGTCATCATCTTCTCTACACATTGCCGTTCTTTACCACCCATCGTGGCAATTCGGGTCGCCGCCTTAAATTCCTGAAATAGTCAAGTTATAAGTTCCCCCCAGCATCCCTCAAGTAGAATCATAGAATCCTTTAGGTTGGAAGAGACCTTTAAGGTCATCAAGTCCAACCATCAAGCCAACACTACTAAGCTCTCTGCAAAAACAGAATCAGAATCTGTCAGGGTTGGAAGGGACCACAAGGATCACCCAGTTCCAACCCCTCTGCCATGAACAGGGACACCTCCCACTAGATCAGGCTGCCCAGAGCCTCATCCAGCCTGACTTTAAAGACCCCAGAGATGGGGCCTCAACCACCTCCCTGGGCAACCCATTCCAGGGTCTCACCACTTCAGTACAGATGTTGTATTGCAGGCACATTTATGGGAGTGATTGACTAAAAGCATACCCAAGACTTGAGTTTTGCACACAGCATGCTAATCACTTCTTCAGGTTAACAAAATTTCTATCTGTGACAGCCAAGCCTTTAAAAATGCACAGAATGCAAAAATTTGAAAATTTTAAATCATACTCAAAACACCACTTGATAGTTGCGAAACTACATATCAATAGAAATTTATAATGCAGTTTTCAAGCCTTATAAAGAACTTCTCCTCAAACACCCAGTTTTGGTCAAAACCAAGGAAACCAATGACCGTGATTCTGCCTTTGCATTCCTGAGGCACCCAGACATGAGAAAATAGGAGGACATGCCATTAATCAGCTTCCCAGCAATGCAAAAAGAATTCCTGTAACAGCTGGTGTATATACCTCAAGTTGTATGCTGAGCTTCCCGAGCCTGGGTGAAGGTCATCCCAGTACAGTGCCAGCACTTAGCTGCTCTTATGTAGCTGCCCGAGGGCCCCAGGCGCCACTAGTGCCAAGCTCAGCGAGAGCATTCCAGCTCCTGGGAAGGTGCTGCACACTGACTGTCCCAGCACCTTGGCTGCACGCTGCCAGCCGTGGCCATCACACCCATGGGTGTTCACTAGCCAAGAAGCACTGTGAAGTGGCCTTCCTGCTGCATACAGGCAGTAGTAAATGACACCAACCATACAGATACACATTTACACTGGTTTACACATATATACACACACACTCTTGTGTGCATATATTTTTAGTAGAACATATTCCACAAGCTTCAGCTGGGAACACAAGGCTCCAAGACACAGCTCCATGCATAACAGCAGCTGACAGATGTTGCCTGCAAGCTGGGGAGCTCAGCAGTCCCACAAACAAGCGCAGGAATAGCTCCCTACTCTCAAAACGATCCATTTATACATGCACATTTTGGAGTTCTCAACTTCAAGCGTGCAGGTGACACTTTCCAAGCGACATGCTGCAGTTCCTTTTTCTCACTGCCCACACAGATTCTCACAGTCTGAGTATCAGGGCTAGTCCAGACAAGAAGCACTGCTTTCTTCAAACCAGCATCCATGGGGAAGGCAGCGCAGTGGCAGCAGCGGCTGTAAATCATGTACCAGCAGGACACGTTACAGCAGATGCCACAAGAAGCAGGTCTACTCTGCGTAGCTCTGCCTGCTAACCAAACCGCCTGCCCTGCTGAGCAGCACGCACACTCACCTGCCACGTCTCCTAGCACCAACCACAGCCCAGCTTCACAAAAAGCTTTGGCATAAAGCAGCAAAGACTACTTGGGGCATCCAAGGCGATTAATAACTACTAAGGTGCTCTGGGACAGGCAGATTTATGTCTGCTATAGGTTTTTGTGAAAGTTTTCTTATTTAGTAACACCTACGCACCAGATATGCCCAGCTGTGAAACCGGAAAAAAAAAAAAAATTCATCTGCTGTTTCTGTTAGTAAGTGAGAAGTAGTTGTGTTGCAAAGCAGAGTGCACAATGCACAAATCATTTTTTTAGCCATTTAAAACTAATTAGATCAACTGATATTGTGTGCAACCATAACCAAAACCCACAGATGGCAGTGGTGCAAATAGGTACTAGTATTTTTGTCATGAAGCAGTAAAGCAGCTTTAACCTCAGCCAAGTACACATATTTAGGGACTTGAACACATCAACTATCTTTTCCCTTAATGCGAAAGATCCCTAAAGCTTGCTACAATGCAAAAAAAGTAACTCTATGCAAATTTAAGTGCTACACAACGTGCTACAGGAAACTACAGAGAAATCACAGGAAATCCCCTCACATCAAGGCAGGCAATAGCTAAGACAGATGTTTAATATTCTTCTGTATTCCACCAACACATCAGTCACAAATCCTCAGATTTTTCTGCTTTTAAATCCCAAGTATTCTTATCACATTGACCTCAACAATATTTCCTCACAGTGGTGAAGTTACTCAACATACCTGCATGCTAGAAAAAAAAAGTTAAGCATTTGATATACCCTGTAATCAATACATCCCATGCACCCAAGACAAACCATTGTATTTCTTATGGTAAAACTGATCCCTTATTTACCCCATACTCTTCTTAGAGGAAATATGGAAAAACCTCTCTCCACTTCCATTTTTAATCAAGCTGCCCGAGAATTCATCACAACCTCCGTACCACTTTCATATATCTGACCACCACCTCTTGCTATTCACTCTAAGTAATGCATTTACCTCTACAACTGTAACAGATTCTTGTATTTAACTGATAATTTTTCTCAGCAAGAAAGAGAGCACAGAACATGACAAGCATATTGCCAGCAGTTCAATGAATTAATTTTGATTATCAAGAAGTTAACATTTTTCCAGCTTCTGAAATCACATTGCAACAGCAGTTACTGGAGACTACTAAAATGGACCCATTATCTATACTAACAGAAACTGAAAGTGGGAAATGA